CATTTGCTTCCGAACGTGCAGGTACCCTTTTGCCAATTCCAACATACCTTCTTTTTGGGTCCAGCTGAAGATGAACTTCCTCTACCTTTCCCTCTTGATGAATCTCGACTTCCGCTTCTTCCTTTCTTACCTTTCATCTTGGCATCATAGACCTTCTGAGAATGGCTGTAAAGACATTTGTCACCTTTGTTGCATCCTCCTTTATTGAAGAAGTAGTTACAGAAAATCTTCTTCTTGTCAACGGGTGAAGATGATCTTCCCTTCCCACCTTTGCCTTTCTTGTTGTTCTTGTCGGCATGAGATTTCGGAGAAGGTGTAGGAAGTACCGAAGCAGCTTCACTCTTCGCTTTCGCCTTAGGGCGTTTGGGAGGATCACCTGTAGACGATGCAGCTGCTTCATTCTCCTTCTTGGTCTTGACGGGAGCGGCAGGCTTGTCTGCATCTTCTAAGGCAGGTGTCGTCTTGTTAGAGGACAATGACAGTTTCACTGCACGTTCTCTATCCTTCAACAGTCGTTCTTGCTTCCCTCGTGCTATGTATCCCTTGATCATACCAGTTAGATAAGCATAGGTCTTCTCATGATGCCCTTCATCAAAGGTTTTGTATCGGTTGATATCGAAGGCCATAAGCTTTGAATGTTCAATCTTCCGGAACAATGTGTCACGCAGGGAATTGTTGGAAGGCAGATCATCATGTTTCATATTGTATACGATGTCAAGCCACTTGTTGTAGAAGGCCTCAAGTTGGTCATCTCCATAGTAGTTGAACATATACAAATGATGGGCATTGTAGAGAACTTCAGTGTGGTCAGGTGACTTGAAGCTAATCAGTATCATTGCGAATAGTTCTCGTCCCTTGATGAAGTCCCCACTTCTCCCATACAATTGGTTCTTCATGGACATGTCATACTTCACTTGCATGGACTTGTCCCCAGCATTGTCAATGACTTTCCTCAAGGCGTTGGAGAGCTTGGCATCAATGGATTGGAATCTCACATCAGGAGCTTTGGCCAGCGCTTCCAAGTCAGGTTGATCTGCAAGACACGGGGCTAGCCACGCTTTCCAATCTTCATAGTTTCGATCTCCACTTGCAACACAAACTTCATGAACAACACTTCCCTTCCAGGATGAAAGTTCAGTGGTCTTAGGCCAGGGTTGGAGGCTGATCTTTTCGGCTTCCCTCAGAGATACGGATGATTTGGATCTATCCCTCTCAAGGTTCTCCAACTCCTTGACATTGGTGTTGTACTCGTTCCTGAGCTTCTCGAAGGCTTCAGCTTCTGCTCGGTATTCCTGCTCTTCACCGTTGGCGCGATCTTCAGCTTGAGAGAATTTGTTCTTGTAATAATCTTTCCGATCTTCCATCTTCTTCAACTCATCTTGAAGATTTCGAACTTCATTGTTCCTCTCTTGCTTCATCTCGTCCAACTCTGCTTTCAGTTTGGCACACTTCTCTTCACATTCATTCCGAGGCATAGCATTACTGGGGTACCCATGTAATGTAGTCGGTCTATTCTTTGATGAAGAAGAATGAGCTTGGTTTTCCAACTTCAGGGCAGCAATGGTGCTCGACATCTCTTCTACCTCAGCGTAACGCTCATTGGCCAGTTGATGCATCTCGGTCAAGTGGCTTTCGGGAATAGAGTAGTCAGTCGCACCTTTGATCACGAGTCTTCTGTCGTTCAACATCTTGATGGACTTACCTGCATCCCTGTGAGCACGCTCTAGAGAGTCCTTTTGGGCTTCAAGTTCAGTATGAAGGCGAGCAATAGCTGTGTCCCTGTCATTGAGTTCATTGTGCAAACTGTCGAACAAGTTACTCGTCACATTCGGATTGTTGCTCATGTGATCGATCTTGTTCAGAGCATCTTGATATTTCTTACCAGTTTCATCAAAGTTTCGCTGGAAGACTTTGAGCAGGTCCTCAGTGTCAATGAGTTCAGATCTGTTCTGCAAGTACAACTTGTCAATTTCAGCCTTGGATTCCTTCAAGCTGTCACGCTCACGCACGGCTTGCATATACATCTCGTATAGAGGTCCTCCATGCGGTGATCTGCTTGGTGAAGATCTTCTGGCTTGTTGACAGGAAAGTTCATGATACTGATTCTTCGATTCAGTCGGTTGCTGTTGCATTCGATCTAAAAGACTTTGTTTCATGTGTAGTTCAGAACGTAGTCCCATTATCCTCATGTCCCGCATGCCGCCTGATTCAGCTAGAGATTCTTCAGAAACCCTGTTTTCAGAAATCGCTAGTCGAGATTGTAAGTTTTCATTGTGGATCACCTGCAATCGAAGTTGCGATTCTTCCAAAGATAAGTGATGTTCACATTCTGCATAACGGTCATGTTCAGATCTTATGTTACTACGGAACTCCTTCATGATCTCGTCCCTCTTCATGTCAGCAGCATCGAGCTCAGTTTCCAGTCGTCTAACATTCATGGCCATGGTGTGCTTCATCGTCTGGTTCTGATTGGCAACCTCGAGCATTTCGATCTGTAAAGCACATGTTTGGTCGTTAGCGTAGCCGACCGCCAGAGCTTCTTGCTTTGCATTCATCTCTGCGTTCTCTAATTCCAGTCTGAGTTGATTGATGTGAGCATTCGCGTCAGCGCCCACATGCACCATGATTGCGTTTGCTTGTCCCATTTGTTCATCGAATTCCGAACGTAGTCGTGAATATTTGAATTCCAAATGAGATGCAGCTTCATTCGGCATAGTCTGATACCTTTCCAACTCTTCGATCCTGTAGGTCGCACCTTCATCTTCTTGTTGTGCAGCCTGTAACTCGAAGTTCAGCATCTGGAGTTGTTCGGTCATCGACATCATCTCTTGATGAGTGGTACTTTCCAGGAAATTAAATTGTTGATAGGCATATGCTGTCGTCTCGCTCAATCTTGCCTGAAGTACGGATTCTTCTTCAGTGGCCTTTTCCAGTGATGTCTTGTATTCAGCTAATTCACTCTGATAGGCAGTGAAGATGTCGCTACCACTTGACGGGGCGTTCACTTGCTGATAAGATCCTGTCCCTGATGGAGTAGCGTCCTGAATCGGTGAAGGCGGATTCGACGACGTAGTCTTCGCCTTGGTCCTTGGAGTCATCGGAGGCGACAATTGTCGTGCAGATGATCTTCTCTTTCCAGGTGTGCTGTCCCTATCTTCAATTGCTTGCATTGTCGAAATTTGTCTCCCTCTAGGAGCAACCAGAGGTCGCCTGGGTTGGCTCGTTCTCAGTTCTGAGGCATCGCTTCCGCCAGTGTCGATACTCTGTGAAGAATTTGACTGCGTGCCGGCAGCTGGTGCAACGGCATGTCCAGAGAAAGAAAATGGATTATCGCTGCTATCCTGTTCAGTCATCTGTAAGGCCCGCGGCTACCCGCTCGTAGGCTCCGTAGGAGTCCTACGGCTGATAACCTGCGAATCGGGGATTGCCTGTCCGATTATGTCCTGGTGGTTGGTTCTGAAGTGATTGCTCCAATGATGACGTTACGCGGGCAGCAGCTTCCGCATGGCTGTTCTTTGCTCTGTCGCTGCAGTGGGTCTTGAGCCAAAGAGGCCAGTTTGGAATGCCCCTTTGGTACTGGATCCTAGAGTGTCGAATTATGTGATAATATACAAGGGTCCGTAGCCTACACTCTATTCGCATCATGTTTCAGCTGTTTCAGTGCATTTTTCAGTGAACCCAAAAATCACGAAATCCTTCAGCTTTTGGACTCACATGTGTGTGATGTCAAAACTTGATCGCCTCAAGTCCCTGCCAGAAATCTCGACCCGACCCTGCCTGCCCGGGCGGGAACTGGGATCATGGTAGCGGGCCTGGAAAGCGATCACAAGAATTTGGATTTGAATGGATTTGATATGATTTGTATGGATTTCTTCAACATTTCTGAGAATTTTGAGCAGGCGAATCAGTTGTGTGTGGGATTCTGTGCATCATGTGATTTTCATGGTATCAAAGGCGATCAGCTTGTGCAAAGCACGAAACAGATCGAGAAATCCAAACATCTACAGCCTGTCCAAAGTGACTGCCGCACAACTGCCACTGATTCACCCAATTCAATCCAATTCAGCCATGTTTTCCACTTGACATGTTCCATATGTTTCCATCCTCATTGGTCACAGCCATGTCCGCACCTCACAAGGATCGAGGCTTGGCCATCTTTTCACCTGGGAACCACTGAAGCTAAGGAGCTTTGGGAATTTGACAAGAAATTCGCAAGAAAATGGAGAATTTTGGTGAAGTGATGCAAAGTGATTGTGTTGTGAGTTGTTTGCGACTGTCTATGGGTCATAAGGCATTCTTCGAGATGAATTTCAACATGTTTTAACGTTGCATCACATTTCAAAACACGTATTTTCGATGACTTTCATGTGCGCAGTCCCACTAACTGTCACTAACTACCTTGTGCAAAGAAAAAAACGTCTCTGTGTGAGTGTGTGACCGTTCACACCAAAAATGCATGTCCGCTTATAGTTGTGACATGTTGTGAAATGTTGATGGGATGGATGAGGTCCTGGCCACATGTACAATACATGTATAATTATGTTTAACCTAGTCCTGAGCAGAACGGCAACCGCGATGAGCTTCGGGTTTTGTGCTGTTTGAACAGTGGGATCAGATGGGATCAGATGGGATCAGTCAGATCAGTCAGATCAGTCACTTTCGTCAGATTTGCCTGGCTTTGCCTCTTGGACATCTCCCAACTTCCCACCTTCGGAGGCGGTTCTGTGGTCAATTCTTCCCAGGGTGGACTCTCTGCAGCATCTATGGCCTTCGCTGCCTTAGCTGCAACGGGCACAACCACCGTAAAATTAGAAAAATGTCTTTGTACTGATACAGGTTCACAATGTTGACAAATGTTTCTTAATGTTTCTTTATATTTTGCGACTGCAGCTGAATGGTCCTGCATTTTTTTTGCTGACAAACCAGATCTCTTGGTTCTTGGAATGAAGAGCCACAAGACGTTGCACAGGAATGATTGACATCTCACTAGGCCGCAACTGTTTTCCCACTACAATCATGGAAGCCTCCAGACCTCTTTGGATCTACCTCTTTGTAGGCTTCAGGTGGTGCTTTCAAAGGGCACCAGCATCGCTGTAGCCCGCAACATGTGGCCAACAGGCAAAAGCGCCCAGCTACTGGGGAGGGCCTGGTTTCCGGGCAACAAAATACATAGACTCTTGGGGTGCGAACATGTCGTTCCCACCTTCCACTCCTCTCATGAACTTTCCAGTCTCAAGAATGCTGAGCTTTCCCTCCTCCACCACCGCATCAATCATGTCTCTGTAGCCATTGCTGTCACCCTTCTCCCACAAGTATGAGCGCATGGCAGTGATGAAATAGCCTCCTTCCTTCAGTGCATCCACACAGTCAATGATAGCTTTGGCAGGCATATGGTTTGGCACCCAAACTCCATGAGCAGTCACAAGGTCATAGCGTCCCAATCTCTCCTTCGGCAGCTGCTTCTCCCCCAAATAGAAGGACTCACAGTTTCGATAATGACCACGTCGCATGGCTTCTGACACAAACTGCTCGGAGGCATCCATCCCATCAATCTGCTGAAAGCCCTGTTCATGGAGCAATCTGCCCATGAGGCCAGTTCCACAGCCTACATCATAAATCTCACTATCAGCATGAAGGTCAGTTCGCTCAAGGATCTTTGCAAGGATCTGTTCACTCTCAGTTGCATTGATCAATCGAACCATTTCATCGTACACCTCCGGCTTCATTGAGTCGTAGAAGGATCCAATGTTTTCAGCAGGCATCGATCGAAATCGATCCATGAGGGCTTGTGCTTCTTGCTCCAGGCTCGACATTGCGAAAGTTGAATGATATCCATAAAAGCAGTCAAGAAATGGATAGAGTAATGATAGAGTCACTTATTTTAGGGAATCTCTCTGGGACATTTCTACTTAAATAGCATCTATATAATAGCTTTGAAATGCTTTGAATCGTGCAGCTGCTGCTAGCTGGTAGCACTACCTGTTGGCGTAGTACTATCGCCAACAGCCTAACAGCTGTGGCACGTTACCTTTGGCCAAGCTCGTCATGTCTTGAAAAACAACAAGGACTGCTCCCTTCTAGGCCTTGAGAAGACACGGGGAGACCCTTTCCCATCCCTTTGTTTATCATGCATCCGTTAATTTGATTTGGACAATTGGCAAGCGGCTGATGGGATTTAAACATAGCTTGACTTGCCAAGCTGATAAGAATTACAGCTCATCATCACCTTTTAATGCCTTTCTCTGTGAGTAGCATCAATTTGTTCAATCCGTGTTAGGAGATGCATTCAAGAGGCATTGTCGTCAATAACCTCGCTGGCGACAGCCTGGTTGTTGGAAACCTTCCAGGGTCTCCTGGCAGTCGGTGTCCAAAACGACGATTTTCTGCTGGAGTATTGAAAGTGAGTGCTGAAAGTTCTGGATAAACACAACAGCACTGCAAACTGTTCAGATTCCATCACGCCGGGTTCAGGCCTCCCTGATATTCAGACAGTGACTGGTGTAGACACGGTGTAGCAATAGAGTTGCATCATTCAAGATATCAGTAGTCACTAGACTCCTTTGCGGAGAATGCCATCATGCTTAATGTGCCTACTCGTCAATCACACTTGAGTGGCAGGTCTACTTCTTCGTCCAGTTGGGATTCCATATCTATCCATATCTCTCGCTCATTCAAATGCTTGAGACCCCAATCGAGGCAAGACCAGCACGACCAAAATCATAGAACTTGGACAGCACGAGCACATCACGGAGAAGATCGTAACCAGCACAATCAATGTCACCACCGTCCGCCGATGCGGAAAAAACATGGGAAAACTGTTAAGAAAAACAAGGCAGAACTCACAGCATTCTCAGTCCTTTCGGGCATCATCATCGAGTTGATAGCAACATCGAACTGCGAACTGCCTGAGCAGGGGCCGACTCAACCTTGGAGTTTGTCTTTATCTTGTAGCTCCATGAAGCTCCCGGATGGATGTCCAGATTCTTGTCACAAAAGTTAAAAGAGCACGGAACGATCCAAGAGTATGGACCTTCCTGGAAGCTTTTTGGTGGTTCAAGAGATACTTTGGTAATATATGGTCATATCATCTGGGTGAAGCTTTAATTTATTGACCTGCAAAAAGGTCTGTGTAAGATTGTGTAAGGTGGTGAACGATTCAAAACTCATCAATTCTACGAACACCGAAGGCCATTTCGAATCTATCGGCCATTGGGAGCTGTGTCCCCGGCTGTGTTTAAGCTCCTGCGGGCGAGCAGGTTGCTGCCTGGAGGCCCAGTACACTCTCAACATCTCAAAATTCTCGAATAAGTCTTCGTTCGCGGCAGCTTTCACACCGACTGTATTCCAAGTGCAGTTACCATGAGATGTCGATCCTTTCCAAAGTGTTGACATTAGGGACGAAAGCAACAGCTCTGGCGTTGTGATGCACTGTGGCTGTACACCACGGTGGGTTCAAAGCCGAGGTTGGCGCTGGTCATGCCACCAGATTATGCAGCAGGAAAAAAGACCTCACTGCAAAAAGCCGCTATCAAGCCTGCAACTATGAAATCCGTCGAAAGTGCGATAAAAACAGAGTTTCATTGACATCTGTGTTGCGCTGCGATACTCAAGACCACCTTCCACAGAAAGAAAAGCCACAAGTCACAGAAGATGCCCAAGCTTCCAACACCCCAGTACCACTGCCAGATTGCGCTGCCTGGCATCATGGTTTCAACTTCTCTGGGCACTTTGGCTTCAAGAGAGATTTAACAAGAGAAGCCAAATTTGAAACATCTCCTGACATGACTTGACTGCCTGCCTCAACGCTATCTCTTGACAGAGTCTGCCCAATCTTTGAAGGTGAAGAATTGTATGCTAAGCGAGGCTGGCTCTACCAATCGTGGATGCTCCTGCTCATTTAGCCGAGTCTGCAATTGTCGAAACCGTCAGCGATTTAGGATGATTTAGGTTTCAGTTGCGAACATCGGCCGTGATTTCACAGACACTTGTTGGGCTCTCTATCAACAGCTTCGGGAATCCCTCCTGCCAGTCCCCATCTCTTGGAGGAGTAGGCAAGGAAGCTCCCTCACTTCATGGCACCGTGAAACTGGGAAGTGCGAAGGATACGTGGAATGTGTGCGTGCAGTAGTTTTTATGGTATTTGGATGTATTTGGTAGGTGGGAAGGTGAAGATGGTGAAGCTGCTGGGTGATGCTCGTTGGATGCTTGGTCCATTGCCAAAGGGGTTCCTAGGTTTAAGAAGCTTGGCAACAAAATAGACTTCAATAATACTGCATGGCTAAGAAAGTGAATCACGCAGGTCCATGCGTAGGCTAATTTATGCTCTGCTCCTCGCCCATGCTTCACACAACAAAGCTGCTTGAATCGGCGGGGTAAATGATATCCAATTCATGGAATTGCTTCTGGACTGAGCCCGAAAATTGACACAGCTGACTGGTGATGCTGTCACGAATCGTCACGAAAGCATCAGCTACAATCCCTGCCCATGCCATGCTTGCTAAGCTGCTTGCTATACTGCCTGTCCTATGCGTCCAGGCCTGTGTATCTGTCTTCAGGAGTCCCGTCTCTGAGAGGACCTGCGCTGGCAGGAGCTGCCAAATCCTTCAAAACCCCACTGTACAGTAGCCGGAGCCAGGCAACCCCAGGCACCACCGGGCAGTCCACTTCATCATCAGTGGAGAGAGGCGAATGAAACTATCTTTCCCCTGACCATCCATATCAAGTTGTGGGAAACATGCCAGTCTTGCGATGTCTCTCATGACCTGAGGGCAACAAGACAGGCAACACTTCGGCCTTTTAGGATCTTGTGTTGGCAAACGTCTGACAGATGCGTCATTTTTGGGCCCCAAAAACTCAAAACGTATTTGAAGGCTGACTGGACGTCTCTCACACTGCATGAAGGAAGGGTTGTCTCTTGTCTGAGGTTCATACTAAAGGTCTCACTGTCCAGAGTGGCACAGGATTACACCTGCTACGCTGTGAGAAAACAGCACAGCTAAAATTGAATTGTTCATGTGTGAGGCTTACCAATACCGCTGGGGTGCATGTGTTTAGAGCAAGAATCTGTCCTCCCGGAGAGAAACACGTCTTAATCTTACTAAAATCTGTTAAATTGACTCATACCATACTGATACTGATTCTCAACAGGCTCGACGTCCCCGCCTAAAGACGCCTTGCTTGAGGTCGATCAATGCAACATGCTTCAGCCCAGCTTCCCCGGGCGTCAGCGATGTAGCTACCTGAGTCGAAGGGCGCAATGCGACGCAACTGTCAACATGAAAGCTTCTAAGACTTGGACCGATGATCCAGGTTGGATAACATAGAACTCACCACGCAGGGACTCCTCACGGCCATGTGCTTCACAACGCAAAGCGTTAGTGACCATGGTCAGCGCCGTCCACATAGAATATCATAGTCATAGAAAGTGTATTGTGAAACTTGAAACTGTGAAACTTCTTGTCCACAGTTTGAACCGGAATGCAATTGGACACATGTTTATTCAGCTCTTTCACGACTGTTTCGATTGTGACTCAAATCTGCCCAAGCTCGTAGCACAGGCAGTCCATGGCAGTCCTGTGGTTTCACTTGGCAATCATGTTCGTGGCCCCAAATCACCTGGAGGCTGAAGCTGAATTCGGAGCAACTTTGGCAGGAAACTCCTACTGACTTTTCAAGCTTGGACAAGAATGATCCAATTCAACGGAGAAAACGTATGGAAACGTATGAAAACGTATGAATATGAAACAGGTAGCTGGTAATCTGTGGATCTCAATCAAAAGTTATCAAAAGTTTAAGGATTGTGAATCTGCTTTGCCATGCTTTGCCATGCTTTGCCATGCTTTGCCATGCTTTGCCCTTGCACCAGATCCAGGAAGGATGGCAACATCTCCTCGTGAATGCACCTGAGCTGGCTAGCCACTCGTGTACATTGGATGTACTTGGTCGGTCACGAATCCTGCAACCAGAATTGAACGCCATGGGTTCACCAGCGACTCCATGAGATCTCCATGGTCCCCAAATTCCAAAACCAACGAGAATCACTGAGAAGGATGCAGCGGTGGGAAATGGTGAAATGGATACGGAAATGGATACGGACTATGGAAATGGAAATGGATACGGAATCAAATGGAATAAACTCTGAATGAACTTGACACGATGCTGGACGTGTGCCCATCGCAAAGACCACCTGTTCAGTGGCCACGTCTTTCCTCGGGAAGGATCAGACTGGGCACCCGAGCGCCTTGCTGGGGACCCCGCCCTTGCTGCCTTTGTGCCTGGCAGAGATTTCCATCTTGGTAACCCTTCAGCTGATGTGGTCCCCAAACGCAATGGTTCAAAATGCTTCAAAAAATGATTCAAAATGGTTCAAAATGGTTGAAAATGGTTGAACATGGTTGAAAATGGTTCAAACTCAATGGCAAATCCTGCAGCTGGCACTGTCACTCTGGTCGAAGAAACCGTGCAGTGAGGTAGTTTATGAATGTTTATGGTAGTTTATTGCATCTGTAGCGATCCTGCCTATTCTGGTGGAGGATCATCACATGGAACCACTTGTCCGGATCGACAGGAGTCTGAAGGTGCAGGCAGTGCAGCACTGATTGGTACCCGCATAAGAAATGTTGAAGTCGATTGAAGTCGCATGAGCACAAAATTCTCAAAGATTCTTGAAATGTACTGAGCAAATCCGTGGTGTCTAATCAAATTTCAGTGGCTCCTTCAGGCAAAGGTGCTGATGATTTGCGGAGCAGCAACAAAAGGGCAATGCAGCAATGCATCTCATACAATGCCAGCCGTAAGACTCTTTCTGGTTTATGTTTGGATGACTCGCATGCGAACTATTCGCTAAGATCTGAAGGATTCACTTTGCTAAGGGCGGTCCGCGATTGATCGCCCGCCCTCATTTTTGTGATGAAGATAGGATCAGACGGTCGCAGACTAGAATCACAGCGATCAGCGTCACCACCATCTGCAGCCTGCCTGGCCCTTGCTTAGCATTGGATGCTACTGGCACTTGTTACATACTTGCACCCATCCGCACCTCAAAGCGAACTTTTCGCGCCTGCGCATAGAATCTGTCAATCTTTTACCGTCTTTCACCATTCACATGTTATATTGTATGATCCTCAATGATCATCACTCCATATCACTCCAAGAATGGGTAATGACTTGATGACCAGCTAATAAGCCCAAAGTGACCACAACCCTTGCAATCGGTCTCCTGAATTGATCCCAGAATTTTCTTTGTGCTGTAACGTCAGCTGACTTGGCGATGCAATATGGTTTTTTACGCTTCAGAAGGTCCTTTGCTTTGCGTCGACTATTCTCCTCCCAAATATATGGATCTAAAATTATTTAAATAATTTAATATATATTATATATAATATAATATATATTATCTAATATCTACTGTAATATACATGCAAATGACCCAGCCGGCCTGAAAGGCTCTATGAAGTCGTTCATCTCGGATGTTCCCCAAGCCATAGATGGCCACTTGAGATCTACCCTGAGGCCACCATTGGATCATGGCTGGCTTAGTTCAACTGGCAGGGTTTGTTTCTGCTCAATCCATGTCATCATGTCACCATATTCATGCTAAATCCCTGTTAGTATTGTGAGTGCACAGCATTTGAAGATAGTACGCAACAAGGGAACTGCTGTTGTTTGCTCTTTGCACAGCTCTTGTTTTCTGGTTGAAAGATTGACCCATAACATGGATATTGCTGGTGCTGGTGGCAAATGTTTCAACTCCACAGCTTCTCCACCACCTTGCTGAGCAGCAATGGTCGAATCACGATGTCCTGCACTGCTGCGGTCAATTTTTTTCCGAGGATTAGGCTACCAGGGGATAGCAACAGGCGGAAACTGGTTGACTCAGAAATATTTGTGACAACAGGGTGGCATAGCTGCACCTCTAAATCTTCGTGACGGCCAAAGTAGTTGCACAGGCCTGCAACCTCAGAGATGCTCAGGCCAAGGGACCATACTACAAAAGCTGTTTGATATTTGGGGTTCCAATATGCAATCAGAGCAGTTGGCAAGAAATCTTTCTCTTGGACTTGGCAGACTCTGGACAATATGTAATTTGTGTACTAATAAACCCAGAATTTCTGGTCTTTCATACAAGAAAAACACAAACAGGCACATTCATCACGGTCCCGGCTCAGTCTTGCACTGTTCCAAAAATATGCATATTGTTGTGGAACAAACAACGGTGATGCAGCTTTTTCTCAAAAGGGGTACCCACAGGGGGTGGTACATATAATAATTCAAAATAAAGAAGGCTGATTATTTCGTCAACAAATATTACCTGTATGAAAAGTGCATCTAAACAATGCTAAATCACAACCCAACTCTATCCCCCCCAGGAATATACCCTCTCTCACTTTATAGATGTCTATTTAAATTCTATTTATTGGTGTCTAATGGTGTCTACATATGTCAATGAAAGGATTTGTTTGTCTCTCGACAGCTGTGTTTTTAGTCACACCAAAAACTAACGCTGAGGACATCGACCTCTAAGAGGTTTGCAGCGCAGAGATTACTTTCACCGCCAGGATCATCGTGGTTCCCGTGGATCATGAAGCTGGCGCTTGATGGCGCTTGGGAGCTTGGGAGTGGCGTTACGACTAGTGTTCCAGAACCATACAAGCTCCCAAACTGAGGGATACATAAAAGTGCAAATAACATCAAATAACAAATACTAAGGCTCGCAGGTCTCAAATTTGCCGGGCTTTCGAAGAATGAGAACTAGTATAGTACGTATATGTACGTATAGTGCCTATAGTATAGTACGTACTACGTACTGATTTTGCATTTTGCAACTCTCTGTAAGTCCAACAGCTCGCAAGCTCTCAACATCGCCAGATGCACAAAGGGCACTCCACGTTCATGTTTGGATCTTGGTAATTCACCATTCCTCTGGAGAAACTAACTGCTGGATCGCTCACCACCTGTCAGGGTGCATTTTCTCTGGCAAAGACGCCAAGTTGTTCCCACTTTTGGAAAGCATCGTTAATTCATTGGCTGCAATGCGGAACGACTCAAAGCCTACATCCCGAAACCCCAACATACTCAAACTGCGAGCACTGGAATCATTCCCCCCAATACTGTGAACCATTGTGAACATCTTACATTCAGGCAGCTGGGTGCAGAACACCTTTCCAAGTGTCTTGCATGATTGCAGATGTATGACCAGTACCTCCTGAGAGTGAAAAGTGTGCTTGCAACATCGTCACATCGCACTCCACATCTACCCAACCTGTGGCTAAGTGTAGATTGTTGTCAATATGACATTCTGACATTAAATATCCAATAATATCCATCTGGTATCTGGTGATTTCTTGATTCTATAGTGCTTGGATGATTCTACAGTTGACATCCCGGTGCATCCCACAGCCTCGAAGGCCACCTGTCCAGTTTCAAGGCATCTTCTGGTTGAAGAGTGGTTGAAACGTCTGAAGTCAAAGGATCTCAGGAAGTTCATGACCGAAACAACTAGATCAAACTGCTACCCAACTAGATCCAACTAGTATGGTTTTAGCCGTGCAAAAGATGGGAATCATCATCTACCATCATCTACCTGGAGAAATTGTGCGCAAAAAAAATCGGAATGACAGCGGAATATATGCCCCATGTGTTGCACTTCTTCCATGGGTCTGACCGAGCTGCATTGATGTACAACTCATGAGATGTTTTTCCAAACCACCCAGCCCCGCGTCAACCAGCAGCCTCTCCAGAGCCCAACGTGTATTGGCGAAGGAGGTCCATGGTTCGATAGAGGCAGCCCCTGTTTCGCTGTGGCAAAGAATCCACAAGATTCAGTGGATGTGGCTGGAATTGGGCCACGTGGGGATGTGATTCGAAACAATTCTGGAAAAAGACAGGTCATGTCTCCCGATGACACATGATAGTATTGTAGTCGTCCATCGACACAGGCGTTTTCGTTGGCCTGGATGGCTTGTTGTCATGAAAGAGGTCACCACCTGCACGCGGGCAGAGAGTGGGAGGAAGGTTCTTACGGTAAACTTCAGGATTGTCAGGATCCAGAAACACCAACATGACCAACGAATGAACGGAAGCCTCGCTGGATCAAGATTCGTTTCAGAAAATGAATGACTCGTTTTTGATCAACGAATCTCTGTTTCTTCGCATTTTTGCAGTGTTTGCAACCTTGATGCGCAAATCAAAGAACCATTGGGATCAGGTGGATTAATCATGCTTGTATCACTTATATATCACTTATATTATCACTATCAATTTATATCATATATCACCTACCAAGAAAACACGGTTGCAGTGGCCACAGTGATGAAATCTGGGCCATGCACCATGGAGGATGAGATCTGCCTTGCTCGACTTGCCCACCTGTAAGGCCTCCTGGTACATTGCGATCATGGGGATGATCAGATGTCAGAAGTCTTGGCAAGATCTCACAGAACCTACCTCAACGCATGGGAAAGAAGTGGAAGAAATATGAAGAATTTTTTTGGGATCATCTTGGATCTGAAGTTCTTGAAAGATTATGTCAAAGCTATTCCATGCCGTTGAATTTCCCTACAAGATCGTACAAGCTCGTTCAGTACAGTGAGTTGGTCATCTGCTCCTCCAAGGAATCCATGGCATCCTTCCCTCTGACCTCCGCACGTGGCGAACTTTGTAGGGTGAACAATCTCAGTATCTCCAAGCATCTACAGTCTGATCGGATGAAAATCTCGCCCATGTCTGTACGATGTCCTCTGAGCATTCTGTGAATAAACTCTTGGGCCTGCCTTGTCCTTTTCACTGTAGCCCACCTGGACGATTTTTAGCCATGGAGATGCAAGGCACTTTGAATTTGACATTGTGCATAAGAGTTTCTTACCTAGTGCGTTTGTGGTGGTTTGAACCAAAGACTCTGAGAAGAAATCGAGCTTTTCATAGCTTTTCAACTACTGGGATCTCCCTTCCCCAGCAGGTCTGTCACAGAAAAAGAACCTTCTCCCCAGGAGTCCAGATATCGAGCATGACACCTAACATGGAAAACAGATGGTACACAGAGGAGCTCTGCTTCAAGATCCCTCCACCACGCCCATGGCACATGAGTGTCTGTGAGGACCAGGATTCTCAGTGTGTCAGCATCGGGCAACTCATCCTGTCTGTGAGCCGCTCAATGGGGTTAAGAATACAGAATGATCCAAAAAACAGCTAACCCGATTGAATGTCATACCAACTTCGGGAGACTGTGAAATAAGTGTAGAGACACCAAAGGAAGCCGTGTCGTAGGGCATCGGTTTCAAATTGTTTCAACGATGGAAAGGCATAGTAAGCTTGAAAGCACATTCCTTCACTGACCTCCACTGCAAACAAACGCGCAACACAGGAAATGCCGGGCTCAATGTGCAAGAAAAAGGCCGTGCAATACCTCTTCGTTGTCCATGCCAACGTCAGCTAAACCTTTTGCATTCCCCCGTGACAATCATGCCGAGTGAACCGCCATGCAGCCCGCAGGAACGCTTCCCGCGTGCCAATGGCCAGGACGAGGAAAGTGGTGATAAATGGATAGAAAATGATAGTAATTGATTGATTAATTAATGGATAATCAGTGGCATGGCAATGAATTACTTTGGACACGGTCCAGACTGGCTTGGGTGGATGCTGCTTGCGTATGGTTCACCATGCTGAGTCCCACTTGGAAGTCGGAGTTCCAAAATTCAGGCTATGGACAGAGTGCCAATGGGCGGCGATGGGCATTATTTTCTATGCATGACTTGCTGCATGACCAGTCTAGCTACCCACCGTCGTCCGCTTTTGCACTGGGAGCCAAAGCAGGCTTTGACATGGCAAGTGACAAGCCAGGCTATGTTACTTGGGAATGTGGTTTCGGCCCAGGCAGTCACCGCTGTACTTCTCGTGCGTTTTGATCGTGTGCTGTCCGATTTGTACCGCAATTCAATACCAGTATGTGTTGAGTTTATCTTCTCATATTTGCACTTCGTCATATCATATGAGCCAAGTTGCAGTGTATGGTATTGTATCAAATCATATCTCATATCATATGATCAACATATCATATTGCATGTTGAATGGCTAAAAAAAACATAGTACACTTTCTGTTCAGTCTGATGTCCCTCAGGGCTGAATCGTGGGAAAAGCATGAAAAGGCCATGTCTGCAGCCAACACAACAACACAACTTGACTGTTGGCGCATGCAATTCCCGAGGAAATCAGATTCATGGGTTCAAAATGGTTCAAAGCAGCTTGCCCAAACAATCCCCAAACAATCCACCATGGTTCATCCCAACTGGTTCCATGTTCGGCCGCCTTTTTGTCTGTACACCTGACAGCAAATTACTGGCCAGGTCCTCCATGCGCTGAGATTGTCACTGGACATTGTTTGTCCAGCTGCAACGCCTCAGTTTGGAAAACATGGTGTGATTCGTTGTGCACATCACAATCATCACAATCATCACAGTCCTATCCTTCCATGTTTCCATGTTGGCTCAAACATGTTCAAACTCAAGCTGCTGTTTGCAGTGAGGCACGTAATAAAGCCTCCTACAATTGGGCACCAGGGGCGGGAACCGCCTCACAAGTCAAGGCTATGAATTTGCAAACGCCGTTCCTGTAACTTTGCTCCTTATGAAGTCGCATCTATGATAAAACATGATAAAAACCATTTAAAAAAGAACTATCGCCGTCCAGACGGGATGGTTTGCCTCATTTCTTTGACTTTCTTTGGCACTCAATCCTGTCCAATGCCTTCACAAGCATCAACTCACGTGGTGTTAACACGTTCATCCACAATCCAGTGCAGGCACCTTGTGCGTTTTTCGCCTTTGGCCCTATCGAGGCTACATCGAAGTCCTAAGTCTCAGCAGACCCAAGTTGTTTCGGTACTCCGTGTGTGGGTCCCCGATGATCCCAGCACGTTCAGACTCCTTAAATCTCGTTACCATGTGGTGAAAGTTGGGCAAAAATGCAGACATGAAGATGTGGATTGGACTTCATGTTGAACTTTAACAAAGACATTCTCCCAGGTCTGTAGAGTCCATCATGGTGCTACGCACCTTTGCCACAATGGAACTTCGACTTGGACCAAGGTGGCTCAAAGGCAAAGGATCTCAACATATCTCAATTACTCTCTGTAGTTACTTACTTGATGGCCAGGTGATGGCCGGGTGATGCCAGGCATCAACGCATCTTGGATTCGCCGAAGCTCTGAAAACCTTCGGAGCGTCCATGCTTCGGCTGGGATGTGCTCCATCTCTAGAGGGGGAAGGGGAGTGAAATTGATGAGATGCTTGAACTAAATAGATGGGGAGTCAAGTAAAGAACTTGCTAGAAATAGTGCGTAACATCCTGGATGCTTGAAGAGAGAATGAACACTTTCCAGAGCCGATGTTGAGTGGTTTTGCTGAAGAGAACCATTCCAGTTGTGGATTTTGAAGAGTCTTGAAGTAGAACTAGAAAGCAGCTCTAGAATTGCTATCAATGATGGGCAACCATGGTCTTGGCCACTACTCATTAGCAAGCGCCATTATTCTGCCTCTCCAAAACTTGGATCGTTTCCATCAACGGGCAGACAAGCAGCACCGGCTTCATTTCGTTGGAGATGTCACTCTTCAACTGCTGGTTCGAATTCATGAGCTTCTGGATTTCTTCAGTCAGGCACGAAACCTGCAAAGATGCCTCGGATTGGAGGCGTTCACGATCTGACACTACAGTTCTGAGAACCAAGGCAGCCAAATCTAGCCCATAGACATCCATAGACGCTATAGCCCGGAAAAGCATGAGTTCCCCTGAATTGAATGCACTAACTGATTGGTCCTTTGAGGAAGGTGCTTCTTTGCATCCTTTTCTCAATGCCAACACAACAACATAGCATTTCACATCAGTAGAAGTGTTCAAAAGCAAAAATGTTGCAACTTCTCATCGCTTCGCATGCACCACTGGATCCACTTTCTTGAACGGCATGCATAATTTGCATTAATTTCCTGCTACTCTCCACCACTGCCTATGATGCCTATGTGGATGCCGATATGGCCCAGTTACCCAGCGATCCTGTAGACCGCCCAGCTGACGTGTGAGCTCTGCGCTGGCTGCTGCAGCGTCCAATGAGCTCACCATCCTAGGCAGTGGGATCGGGTGAAATGAAGAAATATGGAATGGATATTGTTTTATTGTAGTTTGTCCTATGTCAATGTTAGTACTATCCTTGGCTAGAGTATGGCAAAGTATGACAATATGTATATATATATGGTAGGATAAGAAAACTAAAGTGGTAACTCACTCTTCATACTGCTGAGCCCAGCTTCCAAAGAGTTGAAAAATCAGTGGCAAATTCCAAAATAATGTCGGGGATGTTCACGCTGAAGAAAGAAACAATCGAGATCTCTTAAGCTGCTGAGTCAGCTCCGCTGAGCTGCTCAATCATCTCAATCTCTTTGATGTATTTACACATACATACATGCATATATATATATACATATATATAACTATATATATAATATACGTATATACATTTATCATGCCCAGACATCGGGCATTGAGTTGGATGATGTTCAACTTTGGGCATAATATCATAATATGCGGAAACGAGCAAAAGGTGCGACCAGCACCGAAACAAATCCAGCAAGTGGCTCTTTGACACTGCCCAAGTCTTTCAGCAACGTTGTGAGCGAAGCGAATACATTCGTAGATGATTCCTCTTCTTCCAAGCTCGTCACGAAGGATAGCCTCAGTATTTGGAAGCCCTGAGCAAAACAATGAGATACCATGAGATGCCTGAAAGCATAAGGTATTATGCCAAGATTGGAAGCAGGAACGGTGACAAATAGATTCGTGTCATTTGGTGTTGCTGTCTTTTCTGTCATGGCCTGGGGACACTACGTTTCTCAAAGTGTCATGAACATTCATTGCTGTGGTCATATTGCATGGTTGATCATGTTTCGAAGGTGTTGTCAAAGGATACTTCTTAATGAGCAACACGGCAGCTCTGGGAAAATTGAGAATTGATAACATAACAACTCAGATTATGGCACAAATTTGATCTTCAAGTGCAGATTCCATGTCGACTCTGGCTATCTAAGTTGGCCAGGACAAAACGAAACAATCTGGTCCCAGTGGCTTCAGTGTCGGCTCCTTTTCGTCGCCTGGGAGCTTCAACCCAACTTCGTACCTTGGCACGTGCACATTGGGCATCAAGTGTCGTCGTAGCGTCGTAGATTCAGGCCAATAGTATCTTGCCTACATTGCTGGGGCATCACATTTGCAACACAGCAATTCCATTGCAATGCCTTTTTCTGATTATCCTCCAAAATCGTCTGAATCTGAGGCGTCTTTAAAAATGGCTAAAGGATGCTAAAGGTACATGTTGCCTTTTCCGTTCGGGGAAGACTTGCCTTCACAAGCACAGAAAACACATTGCCAGCAAAGCAGGATAGTACACGTCGCTGCTTTTGCCCTCTCCAATTCGGGGGAGTCAGAGCGTTATCTATGTTATCTTATGCTATCTTTAATATTCATCTATCTCAACTATCTTGGAGTAGCACCCCCCTTCTCCCGCTGGCAACTGGAGATTCGCAGTTCCAAGGTCTTCCCCAAGGTCTTCCAAGGTGCTCTGTGTTGGGCCTCAACCCCCAGATGCAGTGGACCGGCTCCGGTCCTGCCACTTCGCGGCGGAGCAACGTGCCAGCCACGCCATGTTGACGCAGTTCCAGCAGCTGTTCCTTGGGCAAAGGACGTGACTGTGACGTGTGACATAGACCTTCGAATCACTAGTCACTAGTCACTAGTCACTAGACTACACATTGTTCATCAATGTTCATCATTGTTTCAATTTAGATTCGAGAAAATAATCAAAAATGTTTCTTTCATTGCAGATCTATACAGATCCCATAGATGTGTTTTCACTGCTGAAGTGTCCAAACCAGTCCCTCGGAAAGCTACAGCAAACAGCAACAAGCACAGATTGTTTGACAAACAGGTTTTCATGCGGAGCTACCCTCGGAGTTGAGCCGAGCTGCCGTAAATGCACCAGACCATGCAATCTCTGCCCAGCTGGGTCCACAACTCCTCACACTATCAAGGCCCAGTCCAGCAGTGGCACTCTTTAAACTTTACAACATATTTACATAATATGTATTACGGTTATACATGTGTATACTTATCTGTATAATATATATAATAATTATATATATATAACGTATAATTGACCTTGTCCTGCACACACTACCCCACAAAGACTGACTCACAATGAAAATTGATCGAACATGCACAAATCGTTCATCACACGCAAATCTTCAGGCCTTAGCGACAGACTCTCTGGCTCTGCAGCCAATGGCAGTGGCAGCGTGCGGCAAGAGATTCGAACAGGCCTGGCAAATGCTGGTGGACAGCTGAAATGCTGATATTACCGAACTCACCATCAGCTGATATCCACTATATCATTCTATAGGTATATTGATTGTGATTGATTTAAGATGGCTGAGGAAAGCATTGCAGCACGGGGCCAAATCACTCCTGAATCAAGGACAGTGGCCTTCCCAAAAGCACGCCCTTTCGCGAGGCCGCCAACTTCACGACATACGCTGTATCCGCTTGCAATGCTCCGAAGGTGCAACATAGCTCTGGGCGTTGCCGAGCGACGGTGAGGTGGCTGGGCTGATGGACCTGGGTCACGTTTATTATTGGGGCTGCCATCTAAAAAATGCTGCTGTTGATTTCCATCCTGGGCATGAGAGGTACAAGTTTGCATTGGATTCTACAACTTACGTTTCTTATTTGCAATTCGATTCATGTACATTTGGCATTAAAACTATGAGAAGCCTACACATCCCTCGCGCCTCCGTCTTCAAGACTGACACGCCTGCCGTATTGGAACGTGTGAATCAAGGACCAGTTGGGACAAGAATGTACAAATGATAGCGAACAGGGTGAGATGTTATGTTCATCTTCTAGTTGCGGAACTGAAACCCAACACTTTGCCAACAACTCCTCTGTTCATCACTCTAAAACTGTCAAGGCTACTTGCAGGAAACAAGAAAAATGTCGCCAACTCAACCTGTTGAGGTATTTGAATCATTTTGAATGCATGTTGGTGCACCTTTCTGCACTTTGTCAAGCTGCTCCTGCCTCATTATGCTGGACTCACTTTGGCCCAGCGGCTGCACGGTGCACACAAAGTCCTTGGGTCTCGCCTTGTAACACTTGGAAGCAGGGAATGCAGCTGGTTTCGGCCCGGAGGAAAGATCAACATTTCAATTAACTCCCTGGGGATAAAGGGGACGAGATTGAAATTCTGTGGCAGGAACCATTCATACCACATGCATTGAGGATTACCCATGGACTCTCATCCACCATCAACCCATCATCAAATTTCATCCACAAATCACAAAGCTTGCATGACCTAAGCTAACCTAATCTAACCATACCAAATCTCACTCCATTGTCAGAATCCGCCCGTGGACCTGTGCGCTAAGTCCTTGCAATGGACAGGACCTGCAGTGACTACAGTGGCGAAGCAAGTGTGAACATCCGGAAGGGTTGGCGTGGCAAGGAAGAGGGTTGCTACTTTCAATGAGTATGTTTTTGATCAATGAGTTCATACATTCCTGTCTGGGTTACTACTGAGTGGACAAGTTCAGCCACGCTGCCAGCTCACAGTCAAAGACTCAGAGGAGACCTCTACAACCGCATCCTCTATACCTCAAGGCAAGACGAGGGTTTCAACCAAGCAAGCCAAGACTAATATGCCTGCTCTTTGTCTGGATTATATAGATTAGACGTCAATTGCAACACGACTGCAACACCTCACTGAGTAATGCAAACCTACTTGCAAGATGTACCCATTTCCTATACAGTAGCCTATTGCTACCAGCATCGGTTCCCAAACCGTAGCATCCAAGATGTCTACTTCCAGTTACTTCCAACCACCCCCCCTACCTGTATCTATGGGAGGACCAGCACGGTCTGGTAGTCGCCAACCACAGGTCTCTTCCAGCTGTGTGATCCTGAGACTCGTTGGGACTCGTTGCCGGTGGATGTTCTGCGAAGGGACGGTCAATGTGTACAGGTTATGTTTGGTCATTGCTATGTAATGTCTCCCTATCACAGGGTCAGTGCTTGCAGGGCGTCTTGAAAGTGCAAGAATCTGCCAACAGTCTGGGTATTCGCGGCTCAGGGTTTGCTCGGGTGAATTGCGACGAGGTTCAATGCATGGAGCAGGGCCCAAAGTATGTACCTCAGCACATCAGAGCATCATGCACTTCTTTAAATATGGTATCGCATCCACCAGCCTGATCCTTGAAATATTCGGAACTCACCACTTCATGCTTGGAATTCCCCTTCGGGATGAATGTGCCAAGAAGTCCGGTCCTTCCAATGTCCCCGTCAAGTCAATCAAAAACTGACCCAGCATGGGCAAATGCTGCAGCCCACCAGATTTTCGGCTTCTCCGAGTGGCATTCCGCTGATGACGATGATGGTCACGCGCAGAATGACAGTCTCCGAACCTCTGTCATTCAAAGATAGAAGCCAGACGGATAGCACCACCTTGGCCCGGACATCCAGTCACCGGGGTGAGCGGCTATCAGTGCTGGATAGATGGTCAAGCTTGGATTCGTGTGGCACTCACAACAGGGATCTATGGTGAAGTTTCGAAAAACGAGTCGGAAATAGTGAGATTCTGAATGATTCGGATATGTCTGCGGCAAATTGGAAAGTTACATGAACAAACAGAACGTTTGCAGTACTGTAGAGATAATATGAGATAATGAAGTGATAGATGCCTTTTGAACCCAATCATCTCCCCAACCCACTTCGTCTGCCTTGGGAACGTCGTTGTACAAGGCGGAAGCCAAAGAGATTTGACCTTGTCAGCACTTGGCTTAGTTGCCAAATGATGCTGGCAAGTAATAGCTACTTGCAGCTGGGGCCAATGAATTCATGCGGTCCAGTGGCCATGCACAGTCATCGCAATCAAATATGTTTCTGTAGTCTTCTGAATCTTCTAGGCTATGCAAGGCAACTTTGCGCAGATTTGGCAGAAGTGATGGAACCAATGTATAGTCTGTATATATATATATAGTTATATAATGTAAAACGGTCAATGCAATTAGGACATCTGCCACCTTGGAACACATGAAGGTGCCCTTGACCTCTGCACCTGAGGACCCGAGCTCATGAACTTCCTGTACACAGATACCGTCTTTTTCTCTGAATTCGGCGCCATGCCGCACAGTAAACAGCTGTGTGGCAACTGTCTTGGATTCACCAGTGGTCGAGCGACAGAGCCGCCTGCAGGTCCCAGGTCACCCCATAAAGAATTTCAAGTTGGGTCAGTTGGGTAGTGGAATTCTGTTCTTCCATCGAACCGCGATGAAGTAGTCTTTGAATCGGTACAGTTCAGAAGGACAGAATGAGCCGCCAGTTCATTTTGGCATAGTTTGGTATATTTTGGTCACATCCACCAAACGGCCTTTGCACCTGCTTGGAAGTGGGTGTCTCATGTCCCGTGAATGTGGATGCGTCACAAAATGGCAAACATGTGCAAATCATGCAAGACCATACGCTTAGAATCAGGTCGGTACACCATAAATCAGAAGCAGAGGATGCGGTCCGGTTTCATTCCTTTCAACTGATTTCATTGACCCATGCTCCGAGAGGTCAGTGGTAGTCAGCCCAATAGAGTTCCAGTGTGATCATCTGAGACTGGTCTGGTATTGAAAAGGAATACACTGAATACATCTGAATACACCATGCAGCCTATGGATGTCTATGGCAGGTTCGGCAAATTGATACAACTGGCCTTGTCCAGCGGCTGCAGCATGCGGCTTCCACTTGTACACCTCCGCTGGGTCAAGCGTTGCATCACTTGCTCAGTTTTGGCTCGGTGTAGACACACACACACAGCCACTGGTCCCCACCCCGCCTTCCGAACACCTGGCACGAGCAGCAGGACCCAACATCAAGAAAAAATGTCGGCATCCATTATTCATTGACATCACATGAGCTATTTTGATTCAAGTGCGTGAATATCAGTCTGCCGCCTTCTTCCTGTCATGGCTAAGAAACCCTGCACATATGTCAAAAGCTATGTGGAAGCTCTGAAGTGCCAATCTCAAGAGTAGCGCCATCATCAGCGTCGTCATCCTTCCTCTTCCTCCTCATTATCATCATCATGATCATCATCATCATCATCACCACCATCATCATCATCATCAAATTAATTTTGTAAGCATGCTTCGCGAGATCTCTCTGTGAACAGCGATACCTGAAAATGATCGGATGTCAACCCCTGTACCTCCACACTGACTCAATAGCTAGTCACCTGAGCATCTGCAACTTTTTAACTGCGGAGCTTTGCCGGCGGCGATCCTCCAAGGCTTCTGCCATGCTGTAAATCCGTCAAGAGCTAGAACTGTCAGACGAATCTGAAGACGAACTGTCAGATTTCTTTTTCTTCTTCTTGCCTTTCTTGTCTTTCTTTTTCTTTTTGTCTTTCTTGTCTTTCTTTTTGTCCTTCTTCTTCACCGCTTTTTCCTTTTTTTTGCTTTTCTTCTCAGTCTTCTTCTTCTCCTCAGCCTTCCTTTTGCTACCCACTTTGTTTTCCTCTTCTTTTGGAGGTGCGAAGAGATTCGCCGGTGGTGGCAGAAATTCCTGCATCGTCTCCAGCCTCGGAGGTGCCGGGGCAGTGCCTTTCTCCTTCTGTCGCTGCTCCTCCTTCAACCGTTGGATCCGCATCGCAGGCGTCTCCCGCGTGGTGATGGATGTCATGGCCACGGCACGCGGATGCACGCCTTCGCGGACCAGGGGCGCAGATTCAAGACATCAGCACTGCTTTGAATATGTTGAATTGCTGTTGCAATGAAGTGAAGGTGTGTTGTCCTTGGTGTTTGGAGTGTGGAAGATATTTCAGTCTTCTTCAAGTGATCATTTCATGGACTGATTCTGGGTAAACAGTGGCAAGGCAAATGACATTTTGCGTATTTTTTCTCTTGAGATCATGATGTGCTTTTTCACTTGCTGGACTTGAGCCATCTCCAGCTGGCAGGACCATTGCAAAGCTTCACCACTGACAGTGACTCCAACCAAATATTGACCTCCATAGCCACCACAGTGCAATTCAGAATTGGGAGGCTCTTTGCATGCTCTTTGGGGGTCAAAGTGTTCATGTCATGACTCTTGCACCAGATCAACAAACAAGATAAACAAGGTTGACTGACTCTCAGGGTTGTCTTGACCTCGTAAAACCAGCCGTGAGCTACCCGATGGACGGAAGAGCTCTTTCGCATTGGAGCTCACTCCTTGCCGAAAAAAATGACATCCGAATACACGGCCGGACATCCAAGGACAGCACCGACCTACAAGTCACTCAGTCTATAACAAGATCGCTATAACAGAGCTGATCACTACAACATCGCTATGCCTTCGTCTCCGCGGCGTTTCTCCAAGCCTTGTGACCTGCAAACACTCGGGTCAAATCTTGGCTCGAATTTGGGAGCTGAGCTGAACCCAAAATTCTGGCCTCGGTGGTTCAAACTGCTTTTCTTGCTGCATTCCAAGGTGACAGCTAGTGACTGCTAGTGCTAGTGTTTGCTTCTATCACTTGGAGCCCATCTGTTTAATCATACCAGTACTCTTGAACGGTTCAGCGTGCAACTTGAGAAGGGATGGCAGAAAGGTAGTAGGGGTGTCATCAGTGGTGGGAGAACCTGTTGCAGGAAACATGTAGAAATGTGGTTTATTATTGAAAAAAGGATGAACAATTGAACAATAGGACTTTGGTGCACTCTGTATGTAGACAAATCAGAAAGAAATGTCACTTTCAGCCTCTGCCATGCAACAAACCCGCCCCAGGCACTCTCGGCACTCTCTACATGTCCCAAGAGGGAATCAAAAGGGGGGTCCTTCCTAATCCCAAGACCTGACTATGAGACACACCAGTGCTAACGCACATTGACTCAGGTAGCTGACGCTACCTTTCATGCCCACTGTCAGGTGGAAAATCCCTCCTGAGCCAGTCATCCCATTCACGATTTCTCAGCACCGGCTTGGGTCCTGCAAGTGTTGGAGAGTGCTGAGCCGAATTTTTTTGCGACTTCACAGCCAAGAGTGTCGGGACGTCAGCTGAGCTTCACCCTCGACCCTCTTTTGCACAAAGAAAAAAGAAAGTCTCCATCACAAAGGAGTGAAAAACCGTCCAGCCGGTGGAGCTTTGAATAGCTCTGTGAACCAGGAAACCTTGGGGCTTAATTTACTTAATCCGCAACAGTGCCATCCCAGTGTCTCCTCTCGGACTTGCAGTTGGGCTTGGATGATGCCTCGCAGTATGTCAAAATTGTCAAGCACTAGAGGGCGCAGTCCGGTGGAACCCTCACATGGTTCCCCATGAGGAAAGCCTTCCAACAAAGCCAGTTTGGGGATCGAAGCCGCCTTTGCAGGTGCGCCACAACCTCCAGTGCAGCCTGGTGTCAAAGGTGAATATTTTCCCGAAGTCCATGAAATTCCACCGAAAATTGCTGTTGCTTCGTTACAATGGTTTAAATCCAGGGCCAAACATGGCCAAACTGTAGATCAAACATCCAAACAGTTGTCCGACTAGGTGACGAAGCTTTCACTATCTTCACTTTATGCGGACATTGACAATGTACCGATTGTTAAAACACCCAAAATAGGCCTGCGATTCCTCCATCCCCAGGGCACTGCCCGCGACTTCTTGTCCACCTACAGGCTGAGATCATCTCAGATCATCCAACCGATCTCTTGGCCATGCTGGAGGTGATCTTTTGAACACGCTTCGCTCGCTGCAATATGTTGCAGTTAATCAATATGAATCAAATCTCGGATTGGTTGTTTTCATCGGACTCGATGTTGATATCATTAATACAAAGATACGAGATGATACGGTCACAGCTCTGAGCCTTGCCTGGGCTTGGTGCCCCATGAAGGCCGTCCAGGTGAACAGGCACCGCAGGGGGCTGTACCTCAACGTCCTGGCCGTCCTGGCCGTCCTGGCCGTCGCCATCGCACTATTGGGACCTTCTTGGAGCTGAAGAGCTGGTTGTGGTCACAACAGAGCGAACAGAGTAGGATCTTTTGGAATCTCTTGGATTCATTTGATATAAGTATGATATAAGATTCCCTTACCTTGAGCACGATGATTCGTAGATTTCTAGGAATAAATCTTTGGGACAAGTGCCGAGATAAAGCATGCAAAAAAGATGCACAAAAAATGCAAAAAGATGCAAAAGCACATGTCAAAACATTAGGCATATGAGCATGGTACTTTGCGTCTGAAGCTTCCATTGTCAACCGCTAGGATCCGCTAGGAGGTGAAACGCTCCTTCCCATCGCTGCGTGCCGTGACTTCGGCAGACGGTCTGGGTGGCAGCTGCACCTCCTGACCAGCCCCCGTGCAGTGCCATGAACTCCAAATTGCGAAGAATCCCTCCAACTGAGATATTCAGGGATCAATCATGATCAATCTAGGGCTTCAGCCCTTGATTTAATTCATTTCATTGTAATTCTACGTGGTGCAATTGTCACGGATAGGGCGAACATGCCACCGGTCAAAGCAACGTGGCCAGAGCCCACGGCCTCACTGTGGAGAGCCAATCTGAGCTCATCGCACTCCTGTGGCAATGAAGGGTCCATCCCATTTCTTCGCTACCGCTGGCTGAATCTAGCTGATAAATGTTGAACAAAATGTGATCATATCTTTGTAAGTTTCCCAAACATCGTCACTCAACACTTGATCCTGCTCTCTGTCCTGTTGCAGTTGTGCAGTGTTTGCCTGTAGCACCTCTTCCCAATACCGCCGCTCCCATGTGCTGCAGCTGCTGCGTAGCTGAGGGACCAAAAGTCCAAAGAAGCGCAGGCAATCCGGTCTGGCAGCGTGGCTGAAAAGAAATGGATCGGCCACTTCCACAGCCTTTCGGATATTTTCGGATCCTTTCTCGCAACTTGCCCCATCATGCCCCATCTCTACCACTCCAGGATACCCCAGGCGTATTCCACGAGCACAGAACAAGACATGAAGCCCTCGGTCTCAGAAACTGAGTTGGAAAACATTCCTGGATATCAACCACAACTCTTGCCAGTGGTGGGCTGTGGTGGGCCTCAAAACTCCCATAGCGAGGAATCGTTGTGAATGGCTCCAATTGCTGTTTATCCACCTGCACAGCAGATTTTGACCTGCTACCATGCAAATCAACATGAGGTATCATGAGGTCGTAGATTCACCTTAAAGTCATTCGTTACTATCGTCTAGAAATGAGTCACATCAAACATGCTCTCAGATTTAATGAACTCATGTCACGCGTATAGTATATCTTTACACGGATACATTTCTTCATATGTGCATGACGTATCAAATCTCCTCCAACATTTCTATCAAGTAGGTTTTAAGTTCAATGGAGGATAAGTTGGACAAGCTTGACCAGGGTCAATCAAGGTCGTTCAGTAAAGGTCATGGAAGACCTCTCCACGTCTCAAGCCCTTGTAGCCATCAGGTCCCAAGACGATACGACGAAATGCCCACTCCAACCACAGCTACGAGTACCTTTGCAGCTCAGATGACAGGTAGTTCACAAAGATCACAATCACGACCTCAGTCGCAATCTCAGCTTCTGGGCGACAACCTGGGAATATGATGGGGACATGACGGAATGACACAGAATGTCGTCGGGATCACAGCGACAAAACATCGTCACTCAGCTTGCCGCCGAGTTCAACAGGCATGGGCCTGGACCACTGGGGCATCAAGAAAAACAGTGAAATCCCAAGCAGCTGCCCCAAAGGAAATCATGCACGAAAATGAACGGAATGAACGGAATGAACGGAATGAACGGAATGAACGGAATGAACGGAATGAACGGAATGGGTCAGCTCCACGTGCTTTGGTTTTACTTCATCCTGATGGTTTGATCCTTTGAGAATACTCATTCACGCCGAGACAGAATCGCTCACCTAGGACAGCAGCGAGTGCGAGGAGGAAGCGGTCGTTGCTTTGCAATTCAAGGAAGGCATTCGTCATGTGCATAGCGAACTCCTTGAAGCGATCTGGATGTGACATGAAACAATTTTCATTGAGGCTTCTGTGAAATATGAGTGAACTCCCCGGTGTGTAGCAGGCAGGTTTTCTACGAGACACTAGCCTAGAAACGATATGAAGCGATGTTCTGCCACAAACATGTTTAAAGCAGCATCTCTGCCTTGGCATGTGCAAAAGCTTACAAGAAATCACGCCTAGCCTGGAGTACAAGACTGAACGACAAATTAGATCCAAAGAATCCGAAGATAAGACTGGTGAAATTGAAGTCCATCAAATAAGATTTGATCATATGGTGACAATTTGTTCAACATAAGCGCTTGATATGCTTGGTTCAATTCCAAGCAACCCCGCTGCGTAAAGCACTTATGTTGAAAACCTATCCAGTCAGTCAACACAATTGAGTATAATTTGATGCGATTTAGTCATCTATGCCTATGCGCTACACTGACCTGCTATTCCTCCTACCGAAATTCTACTTCAGCTCAGAACCCCAGGAGAACAAAAGCAAGCCTAACAAAGGCCCACCATGTGACACACATCCTCTTTGGCTCACTACTCGCTTCAAAAAGGTGTTCAATAAGCTGAACACGATAGCAAGACCTGCCACTTGTTTGCTGGAAAATATTTAAGGTTGCAAGATCTACCGAGGATCCGCAACACTCAGGAAGATGACGACCAGCTCAATGAGTCTGGGGCCATTCCTTGGCAAGAGATCTTTTACTCGAACTGCGCGCACGTAGCGCGCGTAGTTAGGTAGTTGCATGTTTAGCCCTGCTGAGCAGACATAGGGGTAGTTGGCGCAGCAGCTCCAAGTCATTTGACAAGCTGCAAACATCTATATCCGCCGAGCCCGGCTATCAGCAAGGCGGAGCGCGCCAGAGGAAAAGTACCACCATGCAGCAGCACCACCACACCAGCACCAGCACCATCCGAGCACAAGGTCCGTCCTTCAAGGCCACGCGGCTTTGCACTGGCAAGCTACCTTTTCGGATGCGCTGGAAGCGGATTTGGGCCTGGTTTTTGTAACGTTTCAGAAGGCAGCGTTAGGCAGTGGAGGCGGCCATCCAAGCACCAGGTCCGTCCTTCAGGGACATGCAGCTTTGCACTTGCGGAGGCTACTTTTTTCGCTTGGCAGATGGATTTGGAGCTAGTTTTTGTAATGTTTCAGAAGGCAACGTTTGGCTGTGAAGGCGGCCATCCAAGCACCAGGTCCGTCCTTCGGGGACATGCAGTTTTGCACTGGCGGAGGCTACTGTTTGGACGCTTGGCAGATCGATGTGGCGCTAGTTTAGGTAACGTTGTTAGGTGGTGGAGGCGGCCATCTAGGACCAGGTCTGTCCTTCAGGGGAATGCTGTTTTGCACTGGGGAGGCTACTTTTTTGGACGCGTGGCAGGTGGATTGGAGCTAAATTTTGTGACGTTTCAGAAGGCAACGTGAGGCAGCGGAGACGACCATCCAAGCACCAGGTCCGTCCTTCAGGGAAGATTGCACAATCGTCCCAGGTGGGGCATGGGTGCGCATGCACACGCCATGACGAACATGAAACTGCCTACCGCAGCCACCACTGCGACGATGCTCCACACGGCCAGTTTTGACAGTGCTCGTCATAATGTCGTTGCAGAATAGGCATGTGAGCTGGGTCAAATCGTCCAACGGAGGCAGGCACGGTGCAGAATGCGCCGCGGACATATAGTTGTTTGCTTTTTGCACTGCCACTATCTGAATTTCACGTCGAACTTCTCATAAAATTGATTCATTTGCCGCGCTCTCTCAATGCCGTCAAGCGCTGGTTCGCTATTTATCTATCTGTCTGTCTGTCTATCTATCCATCTATCCATCCATCTATCCATCCATCCATCCATCTATCCATCCATCTATCCATCCATCTATCCATCCATCTGTCCATCTATCCATCCATCTATCCATCCATCTATCCATTTATCCATCCATCTATCCATCCATCTATCCAATCTATCCATCTATCCATCCATCCATCCATCCATCTATCTATCTATCGTTCTTTCGATCTATCTAATCCAATCCAATCCAATCCAATGTATCTATATATAGAATCCACCGTATCCATCGTTCTTATCCATCTGGCTACTGCATTGCATCGGGTGATCTGAAGACTTCTCACGCCTCAAGCAAGCATGCTTTCAAACATGCCGGTGTGTTAAAGCGTTTCTGTTGTACCAAAGGGTGTTTGCTATCAGCTTGATTAGTCGTCGGCGGCAGGGGGCGGCAGCCCTTAGATATTTTATATTATATTATATTATATTATACTATATTATATTATATTATATCATATCATATTATATTATATTATATTATACTATACTATATTATATTATATTGTATTATATTGTATTATATTGTATTATATTGTATTATATTGTATTATATTGTATTATATGGTATTATATTGTATTATATTGTAATATATTATAATTATATTATTATATTATATTATATTATATTATATTGTATTATATTATATTATACTATATTATATTATATTATATATATGTATGTATATCTATACGTATATACGTATATACGTATATATTATGTTATATGATATATGTTATTTCACCAAACTCCGCTTCCATGTCCCGTGAATCAGCAAGAAGAGCTGGTATGAGACGTATGGGAGTGTCATGCATTTGTGGAGCAATCGCCAAAGTTGGATCCCCAAAATATACTGCCGAAGTACCCGGCAGAGAGCAACAAAACAACAACGAAACAACAAGGGAACCAAAACGGGAACCAAAACGGGACCAAAACGAGACCCGAGGTCATCTACTCTGCAACCAGCTGCAACACGCCACTTTGATCCACTTTGTCCAAGCAGCGCAACCCGGCGATTGTCCCGGCTCTCCAGCATCGCATGCTGTCCACGCAAATTCGCCTGGTAAATCTGGACTACCCGTGGTAACTCGTGGTAACTGCACGCAAATAATTGTGATGGGTAGAATACTTGTTGATTGTCCTGGAGTGAGATTTCTTTGTCAGTTTGGCAAATGTCCAGATGTACTTTGCACGTGCCAGCTTTATGATACAACATTTCTGGGTGGCTGGTTGCAACTGTTTTTAACAAACAAAGTAGGGCAAGAGTTCTTAGAGTTTTTCACCCAAAACATGTTTGGGCTAAACTTTCACATTGCTGATTGAAAAGAGTCAGCGCTGCATAGCGCTGCCGCCTTCGAAGCTTCTTTCAGCGTGATCTCCATGTCCTTCTTCAAAGAGCTTTTGAAATGCGCGGTCCTTAAGCCAAAGAAACGAAGCACAAAGCATATCAAAGCATTGAGTTCCACCGGCTGACATAACAATAGATCAAGGATGATCAAGGCATAAGCTCCCTTCTACAGCCCAAGCAGACGGGGTCGCAGTTGCCATGGACTGGGAACTAGTTGGAAATTCCCAATCCCAAAATCTTTCTGCGCGGCTGCTCGACCAGTTGTCTCCAAGCTACGTACTGCTGAAGGCAGCAGTTGCTTTGTCCAGCTGCTTTCGCACTGTGATCAAAAAGTTCCCTTCCTGTGGTGGCATGTGCTGTCTGTTGTCAGCTTGACCCCTCAGGTTGCGATTCATCAGGAATCATTTGGGGAGTTTGATGCCTCTTGTGGCTTGAAATCAGAAAAAACAAAAATTACTTCCACAGCAGCGATGAAAAACTTGAACTTATTTGCAACATTTTGCAACCTTGATAGGATTGGAATGGATTGGAGTCCATTCAAAAACGGCAATATCTCCCTGCCGAAAATCCGGCAACTCAGCCAAAGGAAAAGCAACAAAGCGCCAAGTCTCCAGCATCGCGAAGATGTCTTGCAAGTGCTGCAGTTCAGGCACCAGCTGCTCTTTGACTGTGCATTCCAAGCCTTGAACTCCCTGGCCGGCTGGACTTACGAAAAAGCGGTTGTGACAGAGAGACCACTGTGGCCACCAGTCACGGAGCTTCCGTCAACAAATTGGCTTGGAGTCTCTAGGCCATCACAAATGCCATTCGGCATCTTCCCTTTGAGTGTATTGGGGAACTGAATTCAACTACTAGTTTCAAGATGTTTCAAGATGTTTCAAGTTTCAAGTATTCCATCCATCGCCACCTGCTCCGTCTTTTGAAACTCTTGCTCCAACCTTCCAAGTTCAGCGATGGCTTTCACCTGCCACAGGACCAGCTGGCTGGACTCTGTCTGATGCCGCGAAGAACATAATATATAATGTGAGAACTTCCTGGCGTTTCTTTAAACTCAAAGACTCACCGGTCGTTCACTAAATTCTGGCTATTTGTTGAGATATCAAGAGCTGAATTTCTCTTTCCATGGGCAATCAGGCAAGTCTGGGCTACAAAGTTCTCGGTGAAGCCAGGGGGATGTCCAGGTTCCAGATTGTGGCTCTGAGGCGAGGTTGTAGCAGTTGTAACCCAAATTGATAAAATAAAGATAACAAAGGCAAAAAGTTGCAGCAAGTGGATTTAGGGTTCACATTGGATGTTTCCAACCTCCCAGCTTTTGTTTCAAGATGCAATGTCACATGTTAATACATGTTATATGATTCGTTCGAACAGTTAAGATCTGTTCAGATATCCTGGCCTTGGTGTCTTCGCGTCGACGTTTCTCCTCAGCCATTGCTTCCTTGATCTCACGAAGATCCTGGGAACATTACCGCGTCAAATCTTTGTGGGAGACCAATGGTAGTGGTGAAAAGAAAGGCCAACAAACAGGCCATTCAAGCCATGATAAGCGATTGAATGTAGATAAAGTATCATAAAGTCATATACACATATAATCACATAAATACACTATAATGATCTATAATTCATAATTATTCTATAATGGATTAATGGACCATAATGGACCTCAGATATTCCCCCCACCACAACTGTACCAGCAAAGGTGTCAAACCTCGCTTTGCACACCGGGGTGGCCTGGTTCAAGGTGTCCGGAAAGCTCACCTGCAGAAGAAAAACAAAGGCCCTGATGAATTGCAGTGTCGCTGCTTGTTGCTTTTCTTTTTGCTTCTTGTCTTTGAACAGTGTTAGTTACTGTTAGTTTTGTACTCCTGAAAAGTCTGAATCCATGTTGATCCTGTTGTGTTCGTTGTGTCAGTCCGCAGCTCTGAATCAATGAATCTTGGTGGACAAGCCTTGCCTGAAAGCTGGGCTTCATGTAGAGCTGGGTACCTCAGCAAAACCATGATGGTGGTGCAGGAGCTAGAACAAACCACTCTGTTTCAAGCTTGAAAAAATTGCGGTGATTGCTGAGATTTTACGGCTTTGCCTTAGAATCCTTAGAAAATCCACCCTCACACCACTCCTCTTTTTGCGCTCCAAAAGAATGTCCCCTTCCTGATACACTCTGTCGGACTGGCTTCGTTCGATCAATCATCAACCGCTGTCAACAGAAAGATAAGTTGATCATCCCTGGTCTAATTGTTCAGACAGGGAGTAAGTATCCGTGACTCTCACAGCTTTGACACAGTCAAGAATACGTAGCATTCATCAGGCAAGAGTCTGGCCCCCATGCATCTGCGTCGAAGATCATTTGAACTTTAGACGACTGTGTAAGTTCGATCATTAAATAATTCCACTGATGAGCTGCCGCGCTCCCAATGCTCCCAGCTCTTCATGCAAATCTACACGTCTAAAATGCAGTGCCAAGGTGCACTCTTCATGAAAATCCTTGGTCAACTGTTCGAAGGTCCTGCGCACTGCCTCCGTCAAAGCCAGCTGTTTTGGAGCCTTCTCCAGCTTTTCGTGGCATTTCACGATCTCGTCCTTCAGCAGTAGCACTTCCTGCGCCACCGAGAGTGCAAACGAATGAGCGTACATCGCACCCAACTTTACCACCAACCAGCCCAAGACAAGCAGTTGCACAGTGAAGGCAGGTCACTCATACTCATCTTACGTATTCATACGTGATCTTGCGTGTCCTGTTTGACGTCACCAACAGCATGGGAGTGAAGTTCTGCCTTTCGCTCGATCTGTTCAGCTTGAGATCCATGGGCCACATCCTCTGTGCTTCCAGGGACAGCAGAGCATCTGCCATGATGAAAAGAGCAATGAAACACCACCCATTCAATGACAGATTCTGGAGCACTTGAAAAGATGGATAATGCACTTTGACATACGCTAGGTTCATGAACCAGAACATCAGCTGGAACCTCTCACCTCTCTACGGTATCAGTATCATCTCTGGAGGATTGCTGTGCAAACCTGGGAGTTTCTGTCTTGTGCCGAGGTGGGCACTTTGCGAATGGCAAGGGACTTGCGACCACACAAATCCCCGTTCTTATTGTTTTTTTTAAATTGTTAGAACATGTTAGAACTGTGATTCCTTCTCATGGGAGAATTGGGAGACCAGGTCTAGATAACCTTCCGGATCAAGTTGCGGTGAATGCATCATCTCCCTATGTTGGTAGGCTGAAACAAGTTGACATCATAGTCACGGCCCCATGGCAGGCAAGATGCAAGGCGGGCAGCATATTTTTGCCTCAGACCCGAGACACTTGTCACAATTGTCAGAGCTGGGATAATTGTGGACAATCTATGAATTCTCATTGTGCCTCCAGTTGACTATAGTTGACTATAGTCGACTTTACCATGGAATTAGGTCATTCTGTTTATTGCTTTTGCTTGGCCCATTCTGCTCGAGTCTGCTGTCTAGTTGCTCGGCCTCTTGATGGTTCGCTGTCACTGAATCTTCCAAGATCCGCAAGCGTTCGATCAGCTCCTTTGGTGGGGCAACAGGTGGGTCCCATCAATGTGACATGCTACCAGCTGCTACCAACTCGCACAAGGTGAGAGTGACCTTAGGTCCGAAAATGACCTGTATTCACGATGTCCTGAGAGATGACATGACTGTCTTATCACATCCTCTTGCCCTTATGATGTTAGTCAGTTTGTTGCAATATGAAATGAGGTTGTAGGACAGTCCGACCATCATGTGAGGCTATGAAAATACCAAATCTGCTCCCACGGCATTGCGCCTGGTTGGACTGACGCAAAGATGTGGCCATGGACTCCTGGAAATGATTTAACTAAGAAAAGGCTGCTGCTGGACTCAGGTTCAGCACATACTTTGGAATGTTTCTCTAGGTACTTATGCATCTGTCTACTCCCTGAATCTCCCTGATAACAAATATGACAAATGTAAATAAAATTAAAGCATGGGTTGTGTCATCTCATCGAAGAAGCATATTCATCCATGTCGTTCATTCCTGCTGCAATCTTATCTGTACAATTTATATCCTGTCCTCTCAAAAATGTTTCGTGAGTCACCACCACTATCCCAAGACTACCTAAAACTACCACTAGCAAACTTCCAAACCGCATCCCCTTTTCCGCCGCCGACTGCCTTGATGAGTTTCATCTCAGCTTCCAAAAGCCCAACGGACTGCCTCACCACCGAAGCATCCTCCTGCGCCTTTCTGTGGTCTATGCTGACCAGCTCCTTGGTGGTAGAAAGTGGTCAAAACATCTCAAAAATATAGAAATACAATGAGATACATCTACTTCATTCTAGTTCTGTGTGCAGGACTCATCACAAATACATCATGCATCTATGCATCATTACTCTATGCTCTTCAGATACCATGTATGGATATGTATGGCACCCTCCATAGGGTTGGAATGAGTCACAGTTGTCGTCAGAATGCCATCTAAATATCATGCCACCTGCTAAAGCCATTCCACCTCTCCACCTAAACTTTCTGTCCGAGAGGCAGCAAGATGTTGAACCGTATCCAGGATTCGTTGGTTCTGTCTCTGCACTGCAGCTGTCTCGTCCCTCAGTCGTCATGTGAACGAAATCCCATTGGAGAATTGACGACTTAGCTCACTTAGCTCATCTTAGCTCCATCAAAAGGCTTCAAAAGGCTTGGTGGCATACCTGCAGTAAGGATCGCGGCCAATGTTGAGATTTCACCCGGCCCTTCAATGTATCTTATTCCACTCATTCACACACGACGTGCGGTCAGGTTGTCTCACATCTTACTAGTACAACCATGTCATACTGCTGCCATAACCTTTGGCTAGAGCCACTGAACACCAATGCAACCAACGGCCAGTACTGGTTCGTACTGTTGCCAAGCTTCTGGTGAGTTGTCGCAGTGGCAGCAACAACATCCGTGAGTTTCTCAACGGTTTTCAGGATGGTCTGTGAGTCCTCAACGATTTTCAAGGTCAAGGTCTGGCCAACCCTCTTGAATCCGTTGAATCCGTTGCATCCGACCAGATGTGAACCAGTTTCCACTGTAGAGGCAAGGTTGAAATCTATTCGTTGCCCTCTAGATCCCTCTAGCCCCGTGGAGCACTTCCAGATTTTTTTCAAGATCTTCCCCAAATTGTCAAATGCTTCTGGCATCTTCTGGCACACAGGTGGGCACCACGGACAATGCTTCCTTTCCATCGCCGTGTTTAGCATGGCTCACCCTCTATGCCCGGGGCGAACCTTCTCGGACTTTTGCTGCACGTCATGGAGGGTCTCCTACACTGCTCTGTGGTGCCTCACTACCTTATACATCTCTCATGATGCATATACAAATGTGTATGTACATATATTATATAATATTATATAATTATATAATTATATACAGTCAGTATGATGATGTATGCTGACAGGACAATGATGCATGTTATCTATTGTTATGTTGTGTTGGTTGGATCTTGGAACATCTGCCTGGATTTGTGGTCTCAAAATGTCCCATCAGATTCAGCTGCCCAGATCCCATCTGCCTTCAACAGCTGCACTTCTGCAGCCAACAGAGTCTCCGTGCTGCTGGTGCGGGACAACATGTCCTGTGGCATGCGAAGAAGCTCTTAAAAAAACAACAAACGGACGGGAAAAATGCAAATACACCTCGCACTCAAGTTCCACTCAAGACGTCTCACTGGATTTGAAAACGATGTTTTGTCGCAAAGTTGAGGGGTTGTGACTTTTTGGCGATCTGGCTTGACTCAGGCTCTGGACGGAGCCAAGGAGCATCTTCAATGGCCAAAACAGCGGCCAAATAGAAAGCAGAATCTTCTTTTGGGGGAAGCTTTGAAAATGAAATGAAAATGACATGTTCTGCTTGTTTTCACATTAATGGACTCGCTGTGCATATCAATATGGACAAAACAAGATATGCACAGCTCCTTGATCTGTTGCAAGTCCTCGGTCATCACGGCATCAGTCTATGAAAAGATATAGGCTCCAAACTCTAAACAATAAAGTGCAAACTCTGAATGGAAGGACCAACATCTGAGACATGCCGGGGCTCTAAATGAAGTCCGCCTGTCAAGGTCACGATCATGACAAACCTTCAATCCAAGATTCTTGCATCATGAACTGCACATCAAGCTCAGGGCCGAGGAATGGAGACCTTCGGGCCGGGTTGCGATGTGTGTCCAATGCACCAAGGGTACTGTAAAGACTCTCCACACCATCTTCAGGGGATCCAAATCATTCCATCACAATAATCACTGTCCAGAGGACGTGCAACCCCAAATCCAAAGCACAAAGAAGGTGCTCTCAATTGTGACAATTGGATGTTTACAATCGCGACGATTGTGGGCTTCAGCGGCTTCGGTACGGGTTCTGGGGGAAAGGATGCGCCAGCTACTTGCTACATCAGTTCCTCCCGCAGACATCCAGGCCCTTGTTTCATCAGGCTGGAAGCGCTGGAAGCGATTTTCAAAGATCCCGGTGAAGATGAATTTCAAGTACTGGTAACTTCATCTGGTTTTTCACAAAGAAGAGCCCTGCTGCGGCAAAGTCATCTGAGCCTCTCTGGCCGCTGGTTTTCTCTCTCTGGTGGCGCATGTTGCTGCCGAACTTCCTCGACCAGAGCAGCACTCCTCAGAGTGAGATGCCGCGAGATGCCGCCGAACAGAATTCGCAGAAACAGAAACGGAAACTATGAGAAAACAGAAACTGGGAATAGATGAAAAAAATGGAAAAAAATGGAAAAAGGGGAAACGCCTGGAGGTTGGCAGCTCGAGGAATCCCTCGAAGTAATGTTCTATTGGAGCCCCCACGCTGATTGGCTGATATGACCAACAGCATTCTGGTTGCCGATTCATGAGGGAATACACCTGTGCCACATCTGAAATGGAGCCAGCAAGCATCCCAAACTCTTGCTGTCTGACAGGAGAGCAATCATTGAAGAGGTGCGTACGTTACAACGTATACATGCACATACCTGGTTTCTACTGCAAGCCCCACAAATGAAAACCAAGTCTGGCAAAAGAATGCGAACATACACCAAGTGTATCAACTATACAATCAACGTTTCCCGATTCGCAATGACTACTTGCTCCGCTGCCCTTTCAATTCTCTTGCAAGGTGCCCCTTCAGAGCTTGTTGCATCTCCCCGAACGCAGATGTCAGCTCCGCTAATAAAGGCTGCAGGGCCATCGCCTGTCGTGGCCCGCACCAGGTTTGCACAGTGTGATTTAATTGCTGCATCAAGATGCCCTTGGTAAACGTGAACCTTTGGCTTGCACATGCTTGTACAGTTTGAGAGGCCTGCATGCTTTCGCTTGGAGCTGCACTTTCCTCTCTGCCTTGGGAAAAAAGAAAGGGTGCTCCTCATGTCTACAACTCAGCATGCTGGAGGCGCGGTCACTCGACCAATTGGTAGAATTGCATAATCCTGACCTCTAAATGGTTAGGGTACAGGCTGCAAGGACCTTCGGTGCTTTCAAAAACCTTGAGATGTGCCTTTGCGTCTGTAGACGATGTTTGGACTCCAGCTCGAAATAAATGGAAATAATTCCTATAATATCTTTAATCACTATTCATATACGTACAGTTTACATCTGTTTATTGCATCTGCCCATTCTTCAACGCTTGTGTCTGAGCGACGGCTGTTCACTGAAGCCGCCCGTTCGACCAAGAGGTGTCCGCGAACTATCTCAGAAAGCTCCTTTCCGCGAGGCTGCCCATTGCGTTGAGAGCAGGGATCAAAGAACATGCCGAATATGCCTGAAAATAAAGAAATGAATTCAAACAAATCCAAACAAATCCAAACAATCTGAATAGAGACTCTCTTTCTCTCTCTCTCTCTGAGCGCGGCTCCTCCTGAGCTACGGCCACACGATCCAAAGCACCACAATTGCAGCGTGCAGGAGCTAAAGATGCTAAAGCTCGGATCTCCTAAAGTTCAATGCAGAAAGATGCAGAAAGCACAGAAAATGATGGGAAAGGCGGGCAACGGGTGAAGGCCAGGTTGATTTTGCTTCGCAATTCTTTCACATCCGCTGCCAGCCCTAAACTCCCTCCCAGAGCCGTCCTGAAGGATGGATTGCAGGATCTGTGGCCGTGCTGCCGGGCTGAGCTCCTCCTCCCTCGGCATAGGCCTCGACACGAAGATGGGGACGAAGCCAAAGACAAACAAAATCCAATGGATCCACATGGATCCACCAGCGGTTTTCTCAACTGCAAAAACTGCGGCCCCACTGCAGCGAAACCACTGACTGTCAACACAAACGTACCCCTACTGCCCGATACTGCCTGTACATGCCTGTACTAAGGCCGTACTGGCCGAGTGACGGTAGTGGGGTTTCAGGCTTGGAGTTGGTGCCATTCGCCGCAAGTTCTTCTCGCAGCATCCGCCTAGTGTCCTTCGTGAGGATGACGCAGCTTGAATCCCAGTGAATGATTTTGACGTCAACGAGAAACAATGAGAAAGTCTCACACAAAGTGAGATGAAAAGTCACTGTGCCACAACTTCAGTCCTCATTCCAAGAATTCACCAGGTCCACCAAGCGATGTCCATACTCCTGCAAGCACTGCTGCGCGCGACCGTTGGATTCTGCCTTTGATAAATGAGTTTTTTTGGCGCCATGAATCGAACATCTACAGTATATCAGTACTCATTCAATCCTTGTTTCAAGTTTCCAGAATAATGATGTGCTTTGCAGGAAATTTCATCCCTCTATTCCGTCTATTCCCCTCATCTCAACTTTCACAGCAACCACTGGCCGAAACTGATCGATCAGTCCCTGCCATCGCTTAGAGGAGTAGAAGTTGGTCTCTCAGTCGGCGGTTCTGGCGATCGACGGTCCGGCGTCACCTGCAGATTTGCTGAATCTGTACGAGTCTGGGGTGCGGACGATATCCGATGACACATTGCAACTTGGATATGACCAAATATGGCAAAGGGATGCAAAGGGAATGTATATAGACATAGATTCCAGGGATCATGATGGATCATGGCATATTCCAGGGATGAGGCCTGAGACGTGCACAAGCTTCTCTGGTTTAGTCATGGGTGAGGGCCCATTCCAGTCCCGGCTGCAGTGCCAACTGCAAACGAGTAGCTCCGGCGGATCCAGAAGGAATCAACTTGCTGGGTGTGTGAAACGTGTCAATTCTTTGGCCTTGGGTCAAAGTCGGATAGTATCATGAATGACTCTCTCTTGTTCCATCTTTGCCATGATTTCCTGTGATATTCAACCTCTTATCACTTTGACTTGTTGGAGCAATAACACTGGATGCTAGTCTTCGGTGTTGCTGCTGCACTGGCGGAAGATGAACAGCCGGTTAGTAAAAGCGACTATCCTAACGACATGCAAGACCTCCAAAGGTCCAAAGCTAAGCATTCTTGTCAATAAAAAGCATGAAAGCTATCAAAATCGGAAATGCTGGCAAAGGGTGGACAAGCAATGCCGTCAAGTTGCGGTTGTAAAGTTTTTCATTCAGCATTGAAACATCTGAAGAAGCATTGACCCAATCCCCGTCACCAGTCGGTGTTCCTGACAGGTCGATAGGCCCCAGTAGGGTGAAGGATTTTAGTGGAACCTTAGTGTGACAGAGTTTGAATTTAGGACCAAGCTTACTGTCTTTGTGCCCCTGACTTCTGGTTTCTAGGGCTGAGGCAGGGTGTCTGATTTAGATGGGGGGAAAAGGATTCAGCCTGTCGCTTCTGTGACCTGTTGGTAGATTCCAACATTCATGCAAACCCCTTGCGAAATCTTTCGAACATATCAGAGAGGTGACCCTTTCAGATGTCAGCTGGTTCCACAGCATTGGGAAATCCATCTTTAAACCACCCATTTTACAATTGTTATATACGGTTCCATGGGCCACTTGCTTGGTATCTCCAATGTCATGCACCCATGTCAAGGTGATGTCTCAGCATCATATCATATTCTATTTATCCATGATTGAACGCAAACCAAGAAACGAGCTGATGCCATGGTGGCGACTACGAAAATGCTTCAGGCAGGTTAATGCTTCAGGCAGGTTTGGCATGACAGATCACTGTGTGCGACAACATGTTCATAGACTTCCATTGGGTCGGCTTCTATAGATTTCTATAGATTCTATAGGCTTCTTAGATCTTCTTAGTTTAGGATAGTTTAGGTCCTAAGTGGATTCCCATTTCGAAGCGTCCCGGTGGAGATCTTGGAGATTTGGATTCAACCTTTCTTCATCCGCAACGTTTCTCACGAGCCAAAACTTTGGGCTTTTGCAGAACCGGGAACCAGTCCGAATCAACTGAATCAACAATTTACATCATTTACAAATCACCATTCCACGTTCAGTGGTTCTCTGAGCAAATCCCAGTGTATGAGTGTTCACAAATCATGTTTCAGCACCTCCCAACTGACTGCTGCATACTGCTGCAAGATAACTTGCTGAAGTTTTGTCGGAGCATCTGCCATCGCCTGGCTTGGCACCGCTCTACCCACCAATCAGCTGACAGTACCTGAAATCACTGCATCTGAGGCCTTTTTGATGCACCTTCTGATGGTCAAACTGTCTCCCATGTCTCCCAAACCAGCCACTTCAAATGTTGAAAACGTTGCAGTAGCTCAGCAACAGCATGGAGTAACAAGTTGCAGCCGCTTCAGTGCAGCCGTTAGTGCAACCGTTGCAAACGTTGCAACCTGTGTCACTCTTCTCCGGATCTGTGGGATCTGTGGGATCTGTGGGATCTGTCACAGATGCCATGGCGAGCTGTACAAAGGCACCGAGGTGCGGCAGTGGTCCCACGACTGCTTGAAGAGAGCATATCTGGCATATCGTGGTGGTGCAGGAATATGTTGGAATATGTTGTATGACCGGTATAGAACATGATAGATATTATAGAACAACAACATTTACATCTGACACAAATTTGCTAAATCCGCGTGAAGCACGGACCACCAGCCATCGACCACCAGCCATCCGGCAGGTTTGCGCATCTGGCATCATGGAGAACAGACCCTCGGAGAATTAAAATCTGGAAGTTGACACGACGACATCATGTATTTTGATGTTGGACACGAAAAAAATGAAACATAGGTGTCAGCGTGACTGCCATGATAAACCGGTATGATACAAATGACTGGAATGATGGCAACTGCAATTCCAATCAGCACTCCGAGGGACTCTGAACTAAACGGGCCACAAACAGCCCCAGCAATCAGCGCCATGGATACTGGCTGTCAAGCCCTGAATTAGATGTTGCAGAGTGGAACCGAATGAAACACTGGTCACCCCGCGCAGGAAGCTTCACACCTGGGCATTGCCTGGGCATCAAAAGCGGAATCAAAAGATTCAGGAAGCTGTTTGAATTCAGGAAACATGTTTGAATATGTTTGAAGTGATTCGAAGTGATTCGAAGTCCATGCCCAGAATCCGGGTCACCTTCTGTGACTCAGCGAGAGGCATAGGGTTGCATTGAATGCAAATTTATCTCTTGCTCAAACAAACACAGACCTGAGCTGGTCATACTTGAGCTCAATTTGATCAAAGGCAAAAAGATGCAAAAAGTGTACTTCAGAAAACTGGCCCCCATACTCACCATCCTCGCCGTTCTGGCTCCAGAGCAATGAGCAAGCCCTGGATTGTCAGTAGCCGACTTGGAAAAGAGACAGACCAACAGAATCTCAACTAAAACTGGATTGGCCAATCCGCGGGTTGGGAAAGGCTCAGTCGCTCTCCGATCTCTGCAGCCTTGCGGCGCAACTGCCACACTGCAAACGATGGAGGCGGTCGAAAGTGACTTCGAGTTGTGGCCAAGTGCCACGCTATCGGAGCACAAGACTTTGGTCCAAAACTTTGGAGAAAATGTCGAAGGTTTCCTCATATCCCAAGCTAACTATCGAACATCTTTGAGTGCACAACCTCCAACAAACAAATCGAAGACTACAAATTGAAGTTGGATCTCTTGAGAACAAGATATGACAAGAAACCAGCTTGTTCACTTGTTTCGAATACTCTCCCCGACCTTCTCCAGCATAATTAAAAATGCGCCTAGTTCGTTGGCTCTTTACTCGGATAGCCAGCTGCACAATCAAAAAAGGGTCGGTCAACCCTCTGTGCCTGCAACCTCGAAGATTCAAGCAGCCCAACCAGGCCCAACCGTCTTTGGATATGCTAGGATAAACTTGGATATTGGTCGCTGTTTGCAAAGCTACGTCTGCCCTTGGCTTCAGGGGCTAGGGTCTTTTGCTATGAGTCTCACTATTCTCACTCTGATTCTCCAATTAAACAATGGACTGAATGGACTGAATGGACTGAATGAATCTCCAAGTGCTGCAGCGTGAGAATTCTCCACTGAAATTCAGCTACAGCAGCCGCCTCCGACGACTTTCTCAGCAGGCAATCAGCAAGACTGCAGCTACAGCAGTGCTTAGCAGCGCAGCCATGTATCGACTAAAGGTCCTTTTACATGCGGTCAAGACTGTCAAGAGATTGGAAAGTTGCGTCTCTGCATCTCTAGATCATGGATGGTGTGCGTCTGCAACGAATCGGATTGGCTGAATTCTCTATCAAATCACACGCTTCCATGGAAGCTGCTGGAGGTTTGGCAACTAATATATACTAATATATATAATATATATATATATTATGTTTCTTTAATTGAACGAAAGAATTTGATATGATCTACTCTGGTTCCACAACTTGATCAAAACCTTGTTTGGTTCACGACGTGTATTCAATGTGTTCTATGATATTAACAACTGCCGCACCGCTCCAACTGCAGTGATCCTGTGGCCGCTGCCTCAGTCAAATAAGAGCTACCTGCCGGTCGCAAATCGCACGGGTGTGTTCCACTGAATCCATTGCAGCATGGTTCGGCGCAACCAGGTTCAACATGGTTTAACCGTTTAACCAGAGGTTGCTACAGCGCCCAAGACTTTGAAGTCTGTGCAACCTGAATGATCTGAATGGTTTTGGCAGGTGATGTTCCTGAAACCAGGTCAAGTCCCCTTCATGAACTAACAATGATGGCAATGAAGTAACACAGCATTTGCTGTAATTTGCCATGATGTTGCCAAACCATGCCAAACCATGCCAAACCCTGTTGCTCCCACAATTTGACAAAGTGAACCTTCCCCCGCTGGACCTTTGAGGGTGACCCCGAGGGAGTTGAGCGCTCTGTGGAGGCACGACTTACCTGAAAGTCGCTGCTGTGGCGGGCTGCGATTCATCGTGAAATTCCCACTGTTCCGAATCCGAATTCATCTGAATTCCAGAGATTTCCTCTGACGCAAAATGACACAAACATATCAAGAACTACCTGAATGTACCTCAAACTTCAGCATTGATTTCTTTTCCCAACACATCCACTTTTTACACAGATTCTGGGCTACCAGACTCCCATCCGGCTTCTCATGGGACTGGTACCTACCAAGCACCTCCGCTGGAAGGATTTCGAGGCCAGAAGTCATAGCAGGTTGGCTGTGGTGACTACAGCATAGCAGCATAGCAATAACCTGACACATATATATATATATATCAGAAATTATCAGAATATGAATTCACATTATCGGTCAATGTCTTCCAGAATGAGAACAGCATAGCAGCTGCTCCCAGGGCTCCATGCTTCCAAAAGTTCTCCTCACCCTCGGAGCTGGGTGTCCCCGTGGCTGTTGGGGAAGCCTCAGGCAATATGAGATGCTCAAGAGATGTCAAGACTGGTTTCTAAATGTTTCTAAACTTGAAACAAATATCAAACTTTTATCAAACTTTTATCAAACATTCAAACATGACTTTCTGGTAGTGTTTTCAACCCCATTGATGTACCCATGCAACAGCAAATCTTCACTTTTTGCTTTGCATTGGAGGCTTGTTGCTTATTTGCAATGGAATTTCCAATTTGGGTCAGTGGACCTGCCAATGCTCACAGAAATTTCAGTTTGAGTGCCATTTACCAAATTCTTTACCAAATTCTTTACCAAGTTCTTCCCTGACTTCCCTGCTTTTTTTTGCTTCCGCCTTATCCCCTTGGGAGATCTTGGGAGGTCGACAAAATGGACACCGACTCAGCCGACTGACCGAAATCGGAAAAACCGGGACTCCTGCGCAGTGCTCCTCGCCCCTCCCAGGTGAGCACTTGGGTGTGCCAACCTGACAGAGTCTGACAGAGTGGAAACTATGTCGCATTAGAAGAAATACTTTGAAATACTTTGAAATATTAGAAGAAAAATTCAAAGTCCATTAACCTTCTGATACCTTCTGATCGTTGTCCTCTCAATTGACTCTCAATGCATCTGTTCCATGCTGATGATAAAACATGCTTGTAATCATCTCGTATAAGTGTATCTCTGCATATGTGTGCAGGATGTACACTACTATATTCTGCTGCTAAGCTAGTTCTTTTACAAGGGCTGTGATCACAAACCTCCCAACTTCATTGTGATACTCCAGCACGTGGTCGAAGTCTTGATCGCGAGCAAAGATAGGCATGATGCCGCTGTTGCAAAGTACTTGCAATACTTGCAATACTTGCAAACCTCCCATCATGTTCCGGGCGTTTGCATAATTCTATTTTCTTCTTAATGGGGTTGAACACCGGTCAAGTCTGCCTGGATGGCGACATAGGGACCACTCCAATGGCCAGACTTGGCTGAAAAGAAGTCCTGGGCTGTCACATCTCATCATGCCATCGTAGGTTTCAGAAGCGTCAGCGAGTTGGATGTTTGGGCGTTGGGTCACCCAACAAAACCATTTAAAAAAAAACTACGCTCATCCAAATTGGCTGAGAGAAAGTGTGCACAAGGATTTCAAATCGAAGGTCGAGCCCAGTTTGAAGCATCTCTCATTGCAACTTCTGGCAACGGCCAAGTTGAACCTGTACAGTACACGGTTGCCCGCAAGCCCAAGGCCCTAGCAGCTTCTGAGGTTGTCTCTTGCCTTGGCGTGAGGCTGTAATACTTTGGGTTTCAGGTTTTGTCCATTCGCCTTCGCCTAAGCTTGCTGCCGTAAACTTTGGGTGCCAGGCACA